ATTTTGCATTGTGTGATCTGATTTTGCATTGTGTCCTCTGACTGGTTTTGCAACATCTTTTCTTAGTATGAAAACTGTGTACATGTTGCTATTTTTTCTCTCCTCCATGGTACCAGAAAATGGCAAACCTTCTGAGTAACATAAGCCACAAACTAGGTGATTTGACTGAAATCTATTAAAAATTAAAGATTATATTTCTATCATGTAGCACTGGAGAGGGAAGCAATTGCACCTGCTCAGAAGTAGAATGAAAAACAACCACCACACCACTCAGTAATCAACAGGTCAACCTTCAAGCCAATACATTTCTTTTCCCAATGGCTTAGAGAAATATATTCTGGGCTATTCTAACTTAAACCAAGAATCTAACTACTCTCTCTTCAACAGTTCCTAATGCTGTGCTTTCAATATATAAGCATTATTTTATTTGATATTTCTTTAAGTAGCAGAAATGCACTTTTTGGTGGCCTTTGGGGGGGAAAACACTCAGTATTTGTTAGAAATACAATCCCAAGGCTATTATCTTTTTTTAAAAAACTATTTTTGGTATGTCAACTAGAGATGGGTATCACATCCCCCCTCCCTGCCATGTTGGAGTGCTTGTTGCCATTGACCATTGGGCATGCTAGTTACGGCTGATGAGAGTTGAAGGCAACAATATGTGGGGTACCTTGATTTTCTACTCTTGTATGAATGCTTTGGTTTGTTCAGTGAGATTTCCCTTGTTCATTTGACCAACAGTGTCTCATGCTATAGAATGCTTTTGGATGTCCACTTAGGTTCAAAAGTGATTTGATACATAACACTTTGGGCTGCTGTTTTATTAAATGCACACCCTAAGCTCCCTTGGCTCTCACATCTCTGTACATTCTCTGGGATCCTGGCCCATTAAAATATCCTGACTTTGTAACAAGGAAGCTGAATTATTTCATAACCATGTTAAGAAACACTACTTAAAATTTATTTCACTAGATCCAAAATGGATCAGAATCTACGGACCTTTGCAGACTGCCAGAAATAGTGCAAATTGTGTCCACTTTAACTGTCCTGGCTCAGTGCTAGGGAATCATGGGAATTGTATTTTTTTCTGAGACATTGAGCCTTTTCTGTTGTGGTGCCACAATAAACTACAGTTCCCATGATTCCCTAGCACTGAGTCAGGGCAGTTAAAGTGGACTCAATTTGCACTATTTCTGGCAGTCTGCAAAGGCCCTACATCTTCAACAGATTTTCATTAGCTAACTCCTCAGTTGGTTGCTGAAGGTAATGGAAGCTATGAAGTAACATTAGTAACTTAAGAAATACACTTGCATAAAATAAAAATAGTTTAATAAATTTTTACACAACGCCTGTGAATTAAATACTGCTAAGCACAAACATGCTTCAAGCTACCAACTCAGATTTTCTTCAAATGTCTAGTACAGGGGAAAAAGGCTTTAAATACAATCACCCAGCCATACACACAACAAAGGACAGAGTCTTGTACGAATGCATAAACATACATTTTGGGTTAGACTCCTTCCCTTGAATAGAAGGGTTCCTTCTATTTAGAGAAGAGAATGAGATCTAACTGAAGGATGCAGAAAAGGAACAATTCCATGGATTATCCTTGCAGCTCTCTTTACCACTTTGTTTCAGAGGGTCAGTCAATCCTCCTGAGGAATATTTTAAAGTGAAGGAAGAAAAATCACATTTTAAAATTTTATTTTGATTATTTATACCCCGCTCTTCAGCCACAAAGGCTCTCAGAGCGGCTTACAAATTACAATAGTTAATTAGACATCTATCCTGTTCCTTCAGTAAACGCCTATGAGGGCACAGTTCCAATTGTGGGAAGTCTGATCAAACACATGATTTTTAAACCTGTAAAACAGCACATTTTCTACAGCTGTGGTACAAAAGGCTGCAAGAATATATAGCAGAAGAGAAGTTCTCTGTTTGGTTGTCTGCTTATTCATTTTCATGCGCCAACATCGGAGATGGTTGCTTGATATCTGTAGGAATATAGCTTGTTGTCTGCTCCACCACTCAAAAGCAACTGTAATGAGGGAGGAAAAAAATTAATTATAATAAGATACTTTTTTAAATGGCTAATACCTATTTTTCAAATCTAAACACAAACTCCTAAAAAAACCTAACAACATTCTGTATCTGTCTCAAAACATGTATTATTATTTTTTAAAGAGTAGCATTTTTAAAATAACGAAGCCTACCATAAAGCTGAATCTTTGGGGCAGTTCAAAAGTACCAGAAAATGTATCATTTGACCATTTTCCCAATATTAAAAATAACAGGATGGAGAGTTCTTTCTCTATGTCCACTGAGAATCTGTTTTGTCTGTTTTTGTTCTTTTGCTGTGATGCAAGTGCATAACTATTGTTAGCCTGTGTCAAGAGTAGGCAACCTAAGGCCTTGGGGGGGGGGGG